AGGTCACACAGTGAGAAAAGCACCCAACTGCGTCACAAGACAATCCCTCACTTTGAACCCTCAAGGTAAAAGGAAAAGAGGGAGGCCAAAGAATACATTACACCGAGAAATAGAGAAAGACATGAGAAGAATGAACAACTATTGGAAAGAACTAGAAAGGGAAGCCCAGGACAGAGTTGACTGGAGAATACTGGTTGGCGGCCTATGCTCGGTTCGGGGTAACAGACATAAGTAATTAAGTATACGATAAGTGAAATAAGCAGCACACATATACACTAAAATAAAATAACTAAGATATAAGCGACTGATTGGTATTGGTTGAAAGACATTTGAGTAGCTCGAGAAGAATGGATTAGTTAGTTTGTCCAAAGGCTAGAGCGATGCCCTGTGGGCTCAATATACTACTGATCAATCGCATCTACATCCTAGTTGGAGGTACACAGTTATAACAATGTTCCGCTAAATATATCTGATATGGTCTTGTAAACTGGAGAAAGTGTATATTTGAAACACCAAACAGCATATTTTATTTAAAAGATGATTTCAACTGCAGTGAGTGTAAATCAACAGAATAGAGCAATAAATGCTAAACGGACTGAGATGATTAAAATTATACAAACTCACGATTTTATTGATTTTGAAAAACTAAGTCATATAATAGAGATTTAAAAGATAGTAGAGAAAATTTCTAGCTCAGGTGGATGATTTTGATGGAGTTTCATTCTTTGAGCTGGATGTTTTGGTTGTGCAGCTTTCATTGTTCTTCTGAACAACAACATCATCAGCATAAACCTCGGATAGAAATGAAGCATTCGAATTTCTCTTCGTATGGCTCTTAGCTTGTTTTGTTAACCCTGATCTTGATTGGTTGCTGTTGGCCTTAGGACTGTCATTGTCTGCGCCTTTATTTTGATTGTATTCCCCTTTGATCAGTTACTTGATCCTATGCTACCTATGGTTTTCCTGATTGATTGATAAATTGGGACAATGTTGATGTGCTTATTGATTGCTGATTGACCTGAGTGCCAAGCATCTAAAAATTGTATAGTGTTCTTTGTCCTCCCCCTATCCAGTATTTCAACATTATTCAGATCGAATGTGTGTCCATCATTGTCCGTGTGTAGTGATATAAGCGACGAATTGTCACGGTGTTTGACTACTAATTGGTGTTCACTTAAATGAAGTTGAAAAAGCCGTCCACTTTGTTCTATGTAGTGATTTTCATAGTCTGAGCAATTTATTTTGTAGATGATATTTGGTTTTTCTTCCTTTCTCATTTTTTCCTTCGATGTACATAAGATTGATTAAAGTGGTTCTCTTGGTTTGTATTCTACACCTATTCCAGATGGTTTCAGTGGTCGTGCTGTATGTTGCAATATGTCTTTTATACATGGTAGGATGATCCTTTGAGTTGAAGACCGGTGTCAGGCAAGGTTGCTTACTCCCACCCTTTCTGTTTCGCCTGGTGACTGACTGGATCATAAAGACGTCAACATCAGAAGGGAAGCACGGTACACAGTGGACAGCTAGGACGCAGCTGGACGATCTGGACTTCGCAGATGACCTGGCTCTTCTAACTCACACGCAACAACAAATGCAAGGGAAGACGACCAGTGTAGCAGCAACTTCTGCAGCAGCAGGTCTCAACATACATAAAGGGAAAGGTAAGATTCTACGATACAAAACAACATGAACCAACCAAATCACTCTTCATGGCGATGCCTTGGAGGACGTTGACACCTTTACATATCTGGGCAGCATCATGGACGAGGAAGGTGGATCCGATGCAAATGTGAGGGCGCGGATTGGCAAAGCGAGGGCTGTATTTCTACAATTGAAAAAAATCTGGAACAGCAAACAAATATCAATGAACACCAAAATCAGGATTTTCAATATAAATGCCAAGACAGTTCTATTGTATGGGGCGGAAACTTAGAGAACTACAAAAAGCATCATCCACGAGATTCAAGTATTCATTAAAAGTTGTCAATGCAAAATACTTCCTATTCGTTGGCCAGACACCATCAGCAACAAGGTGCTGTGGGAGAGAACAAACTAGATTTCAGTGGAGGAAGAAATCAGGAAGAAGTGGTGCAAGTGGATAGGACACACACTACGAAAAGCACCTAATTGCGTCACAAGACAAGCCCCCACATAGAACCCTCAAAGTATAAGGTAAAGAGGGAGGCCAAAGAATGCATTACGTCGAGAAATGGAGAAAAACATGAAAAGAATGAACCAAAACTGGAAAGAGCTAGAAGGGAAACCCAAGACAGAGTTAGGTGGAGAATACTGGTTGGCGGCCTATGCTCCATTGGAGGTTACAGGCGTAAGTAAGTAAAGTAAGGATGATCCTCAAAGATTAACTCCAACACAAAGATTTATAAGCAATTCATACAGTTTGATGACGTATGATATTATCATTAAACTTTCTGTTTAATCATTTTAAAAGTCATATAATTTATTTCCTCATTTTTTTCTTTTCACATTTAGTCAACCGATACATATGATAAACGTGCAAGTTTAGCCTATTTCAAACGTCGCCAACCTCAACTATCCGATTCCAGATCTGACATTTCATCGTTATCAGCAGCAGCAAAACGTGCAACTTTATCCTATTTTAAACGTGATCATTTTGATCATCCGCGTTTCAATGGATTACAGTATATTAAACAGATTGCAGAAATTTGTCCATGTTTAAATAGAGAATATTTAAATGGGCTGATGGAACATCATAATGATGAAGAGGATAATTTGGAATTGGAGAAACGTGCAAGTTTAGCCTATTTCAAATGACAATGTTTCAAAGAGATTTTGTTTTTGAAAATGACAATGCACACACATGCACACAGACACACAGACACACAGATCGATATGTTTATTAACTGATTGTTGTAAAAATAAAACTGGAGTAACAACAGCAACAATCAATCCACACTCAACAGGCATATTCACATAAAATTTATCATTGAATCATAATTACTATTATTATCATGATTAATGATTATCAATATTTGAGAATGTTTACACGAATAAATTTTCTTGGAAGTAAATAAAAATTGTTTTGATTAATAAGAGGGTATTATTGGGTTTTATTCAATGAGATACAATGTTACTCAAGTTGGATTTTTATAGAAGGTATAAAGTAATTTTAAGTTGACATGTTGTTATGCCTAAACGTAAACACGTCATTTTGATGTACTTGAACTATTACGAGTTTACCTAGTCGGAAAACGAGAGCGAGGATCGAGGATCCGGAGACACGACATGCTACTCAATTTCGATTATCCCAACCCCCATAATGAGTAAAAATAAGAAGACATGATATGAAGTAGAACCTGTATTCTACAAGCATCCAGAAAGTACGAGGTCTGAGTCCAGAAGAGGATCAGGATCTCGGAATAGGGATCCGGTACCGGGTCTTGGTCCTGGTCATAAAACGTTACAGATAATGCGTATTTATACATTCAGGTTGAATAGGAAACAGCATCGAAGTCTGTGACATTGACAGTTAAGACGACCAATAGGAAGCAACATTTGAAGTGACATTGATAGTTAGGACAATCAATATGAGACAACATTGGAGCGTGTAACATTGATATCTAGGACGACCATAAAATTGACCAGTAGGAATTAACCAATAGTAATTGACCAATAATTCTCTTAGGATATTGGATGAATATCCTAACACATGTAAACTAAGTGAACCAGTTAATTTTATTGATTACTTTTGTTAGGGACGTTAGATCCCTAGAACTCACTTAAAAAAGGTCCTAATTTTGTAACTTTTATTCAGAAATTTTGAATTTCCATGTTTTCGCGCCAGTTGACTTTCAATTTACATTGCCCTCCTCGGAAAATCATTGACTGTCATTGGTTGATGGATTATTTTAGTATGCTATTTTGTGGCTCTCCCAAAGGAGATCTATCATTGTCTAAATAAGCTTGATTTGTGTACTTAGATATCTCGTATTTTCTCAGTGCTTGTTAAATGCACTCTCTACGCCTTATCAAGTCTTATTGCTTTAGTTAGCGGAGCCTGGGACATCGCATGAGTCACTGAGTCATTGCTCTTCGTTCCATCTACCGAGTAAGGTGTACTAGTAATAGTTTCGAGCATATCAACTTTCAGTTAGCTGCGTTCTCTTTTGGACTACCTAGCCTATCGTATGCTCCGATTGTATTCTTTTGACTTTAGAGTTGCCTAATCTGGCAAGGGCGATGGGAATGTACACGACGTTATTGTTATGTGTTAAGTTCAAGGGAGTTGTATGCTATATGCATGCACTCTGCCCCGTTACTGTTCTCAAAGCTCACACCCATGCCACGGTTGGAGTACGTAACTATTAAAGCCTCACCATATCTTACTTCTCTAATTAGTTCAGCTTCATAGAAATACAGAATTACTAGTTGACTAATCACTCTAGATAGATTTACACAAAATCACAAACTTTTGACAAAGTTTACTAAATAAAAATCTTAATTTTTTTAATGGAAGACATTACATCTTTTTACGAAGTGAAATCAATAGGTCAGTAATTCATATTATTTACTTGAATCAAAATTTTTGAAAAGAAAATTATTTAGGTTGACTTTTCGAATTTACAAAATGCTGAAAGTAGTTATGTTGTACTAGTGAGTTGGTGAAGAAAATTTGTCACACAGGTGGATGTATTGATAAGGTTGCGTTCGCTGAGTTGGATGTTGTAATTCCGAATAAAATCATCAACATAAACTTTAGATAAAAGTGAAGTATTGGAATTCCTCATAGACAAGCATACTATCAAGCGTCAAATCAAAGTGGAATAAAATTAAAATAAAGAGGCAAGCAATGATAAGTTAAACGTTAATAACAACCAAACAAGATCGAGGTCAACAGAACAAGCTACGAGTTATACATTACTTACTTACTTACTCACGCCTGTTATACGCAATGGAGCATAGGCTGCCAACCAGTTTTCTCCAACCAACTCTGTCCTCAGCGTTCCTTTTCAGTCCTGTCCAATTTTTGTTCATTCTTCTCATATCTTTCTCTATTCCTCGGCGTAATGTGTTCCTTGGCCTTCATCCTTTCCTTTCACCTTGAGAGTTCCAAGTGAGGGCTTGTCTTGTGACTCAGTTAGGTGCTTTTCGTAGTGTGTGTTCTTATCCACTTCCACCGCTTCTTCCTGATATCTTCCTACACTGGAATCTGGTTTGTTCTTTCCTACAGTACGTTGTTATGTCTGGCCAACAAATCCGAAATATCTTGCGTAGACAACTGTTGATGAATACTTGTATCTTCTGGATGATGGCTTTCGTAGTTTTCCAAGTTTCTGCTCCGTACAGACAAGTTATACATGGATAAGTCTAAATACTTTACTTCTACTTAGAGTTTGTGCTGATAATGTTGTTCAGAAGATCTAGGAAAACTCGGCAACAAAAACATCTAACTTAAAGAACGAAGCTGCATCACGAAGTGTTTTAGTGATTGAGAGCATGATTTGTTTGAGTGTTACATAATTACACATTCGTCTACTATTCTATTACCATAAAATAATCTTATCAAGTTGATTCACCAAGAAAATTTTGAAAGTTAAATTATAAATAAAGTCATAGTCAGAAATAAATGTAAAATAAAATAAAATAATGAAATATTAAATTTTTAATTATCGAGTTATGGCGATCGTGGTGGTACATTGACATCGTGAATGAATTATCGTTAGACCACTAATAGAAACCTGGAAGCACTTAGCGGTCATTTCGTCAGTTTTAATGCAAAACAGTGATATCCATAGTTGTATAATGAAAACGCATATAATGCAGTTACCTATGCTCACTAGCGACTAGATCCGTGAGGAATATTCTCCGAGTCCTGGTGAAAAGTTGTGACCAGTGGAGTTCAACCGTGTTCTGACGTAGACAGTGTAAGGTTCGTCACTAGGTACGCTTGAAGCTATTACGAGTTCACCTTAGTCAATAAAAGCGAACGAGACAATTACCAGCATCCAAGCTGAAGATAGAAGGCTTTGTAAGCGTAGAAAGTATATCCTACAAACACCCAGCAATCACAGAATACAATCAAGCATACAACTCTCCTTTATTTATACGTCATAGAAACGTCCTAGGGACAGTTAAGAAAAGAGCACGCTAAAATACACAGCAATCAATCACAGCCATGGATTTTCCTGGTGGGAAATGAAATCTCAAGGTCAAGTGATCAGCCCATTCTGGCAAACGTGAAAACCAAAATAGGGCATTTATCAAGCGATTTTTGGGGATCCAACATCCCCAACAGACAGTAACTAACGAAGACAGTGTATGAGGTTGTGTGAAACCGTGAATTGATCGAAGTTAGACATTAACACCGATGGATACCGGCCCAGTGGTCGAGAGGTTAGTCGTCCACAGACAAGACCTAACTTGCTTGGTTCCAATCCTGAGAGGGGCAGGAATCATGGATACGCACTACTGATGAGTTCTGTACTAGCACGAAATGGCCATCCAGTGCTTCCAGGTTTCTAATGGGTGGTCTAACATTGATCGATTTACGATTTCAATGTAAACAAACTAATACTATCAATCATTATTTAGTTTAGCTGATTAAGGAATATAAATTCTGATCATTTGATTTCTAAATAAAAAATGATTTACTTTTCTAGTTCATTATATGTTTAGAAAACGTGTATACATAACACACTTCCATTGAAATACTATCACTATTAGTTACAGATTAGTAATATGTTTCTGCATTAATCTAAATTACTAATCTATGCATATAAATTTCAATTTTTAGAGTGAACATTTTCAAAACGTATTTCAATTATTCAAATTATTACATATGTGATATACGTTTTTCAAAAGTGAAGTAATGAGCATTGATTGACAAGTGAAATAATTTTTTGCTTCATTAAAACAAGTTGTATTCAGTAAAGGTTTCACTTTAAAAAATAACAAACTGATTGAATGAATGGAGTGATTTTTTTTGATAATATTTGAGGGATTGTCAAAAATATTTATTAATTACTAATATTTTTTTAAATTATGAATTTCAGTTGTTAGTAGTAATAATACTTTACTAAATTTAGTTAGCATGATAGGGTTGTGAAGATTATTGAGTTAATTTTACTGTTATGGTGTTTCGTTCTTTGAGCTTGATGTTTTGGTCGTGAAGCTTTCATTATTCAATTCTGAACAACATCATCAGCACAAACTTCAGATAGAACAAGTGAAGTATTCGAATTTCTATTAGCCTGTTCTGTTAACCTCGATCTTGATTGGTTGTTATTGATCTTAATCCTGTTGTTATCTGCACCTTTGTTTGATTGTATCCTCTTTTTAATCTGTTTCTTGATCCTGTGTCGCCGATGATTTTTTTGGTTGGTCAGCATGGTAGCATGATAGGTTTGTGGAGATTGTTGAGTTACTTTTGCTAGAATTATGAATCGATCAATGTTAGTTCACAATTAGAAACCTGGAACCACTGGACAGCCGTTTCTTCTTGGTTCGGGTATCATCGCATCCAAGACTCCTGCAACTTGCAAGATCCAGACTCAAGACTTTCTGTCTTCAACGCGAACTCATTTCCTCTGGACCAGTGAGTCGGGAACCTAACAGTGGTAATGTCTAACTTTGATCAATCCACGGTTTTTGTGGGACCTTATTCATTATATTCAGTGGGCAATGCTTCACACCAGAACAGGGTTCAGCTCCTCTGAGAATCATCAGAGCGATTTACCGGAATGTCAGTCGATATTCACTATGGTACTCAAACACAGCACTGTTCATTTCAAACACGCTGAAGACAATCGTATAATAACAGAAAGCGTGCAGTTACAGTCTGAAACATCAGCAATGGGAAATTTCCATTACTTTTATGTCAGTTGAAACTATTAGTGATTATGTGGACTCATCATTTAAAATAATCAGTAGCGTGTTCGAATTCCAAACACATTTTTCTTAAATTCTGTAACTGCTTCATTTTAGATAATCTGGCAATATTCTAGCCATCAAAACAAGTTCATTGATTTGTGTAGCACATGCACATTTTCTTTTGATGCTTCTTTGTCAGACAGAC